CACTAGCACAATCACACTCCTATTCAAACAAACACACCTTATGTAATTTCACTACCAATCCAGCAAACATACCACCTCTCCTAAATCCCCCCATTCACTCCTTCAACCACATCATTTCTTATACAGCACCATCACTATTTCTAATGCCTCACCACAATACAAATTTGCCACCTCTCCTGCATCCAAATTACCACAACCAAAGCTACAACATCAAATCTCACCCATACAGTCAGCACAGAGTCACTACTACTACAAATATACCATCACCACCTCAACCACAACTCCACACAAAAAAATCGTAACGCAAAATATGCCTCTCCCCCCCCCCCCCCCAAAAAAAAAGTCCTAATACCAAGCACATATAAATCGTCCGTTTAGGAAGCGGGTTCCGTACCAATCAACCCCTCAGAGCCATCCAAGGCGGTGTCCGTAACACCAGAAAATCGCGGTAAAAGTGCACGATATTGCACTGTTGACATCCTCTAAAGGTCTGCACACTTCCAAGGAGAGAGATATTGTGCTGAGTCTGAGGTGCTCCACTCCCGCCTATGGTGCTCCATTTCCGTCAAGGATGCTCCACTTCTGCCAGATGTGCTCCAATTATTTTTGGGGTACAGTACCTCACTTTCCCGTGCTCCACTTCCGTCTGAGGAACTCCACTTCCGGTTGAGGTGCTCCAGTTCCCTCTGAGGAAATACATATTTTGTTTGAGGTGCTCCAGTTCCGTCTGAGATGCTGTACGAAGTGCCCCATTCCGTCTAAGGTGCTACAGTTCCCTCAGGGGAACTCCATTTCCCACCGAGGTGCTACATTTTTGTCTAAGGTGGTTCATTTTCCAGTGAGGCACTTCATTTCCGTCTGATATGCTGCTCTTCCGTCTGAGATGCTGCGTTTCCATCTGAGATGCTGAATTTCCGTTTGAGATGCTACGTTTCCGTTTGAGATGCTGCGCTTTCCTTGTAATTACTGAAATACATTTCTGGTAAATTTAATAGTTTTACTTGGCAGTCCTTTGCCACCTAAAGTGACCAAATAGCTTATTTTTATTGGCTAGTTAGGAAACTCTTTGTATTCTTCAGCAAAGCATTTCAAGAAAATATGTTAACACTGAATAATAATGAGGGCTCTCACTAGGGCCTGACATGATATACAGTGTAAAACCTTCCACCATTACACCAGCATTCATCGAGCGAGCCATTACATGTCTTGTCTAAGACCTTCATCACGTCTTTAGAGCCTGATCTCTTCCCTCATCTCTCTCTTCTTGTTGGCCACAGGTCGTCACAAGTGCAGGGAGGTGTGGCCGAGTCTGGCAGTGGAGAGGATATTCACCCTGATGTTGACGGCGACGCTGCTGCTGGTGCCCCTGGTGGTGATGGCTGCTGCTTACCTGAGGGTGGTGAGGACGCTCTGGCTTGGAGCCCAGATGCACACACCAGCCGGGGGAACATCTGCCGTCACGTCTCACGCAGGTACGGGATCTATTTTTATCTACCGGTTTAGGGTTTTGCATTCTGATAGGATAACTAGTCTTTCCTTTCTGTCTCGTGAACTTTTAAAAAGAAAGTTAAATCTTGTTATCTTTTACTTACTTTCATCATGCACTTTTATATATCCTAATGTTCATACATAATTCATACTATACAATTATTATTATTATTATTAAAGTGATTATCCCTTGTTATTAAACCATGGGTTTAATATCAATGCACCAAGCAGAAACAAGCGGGTATATACAGAGAAAGATCGCAGTCAGCAGGACTCGATACTGTTACTGGGGACGGTCGAGATTCCCAGGCAGCGCTCTGATCCACTCGGCCACACAAATGCCACATAAGCTGGACAGCCTGGATCACATGCCATGTTTCTTTCCCAGCCCGGGCATTTGTCCGGCTGGGTGGATAAGAGCGCTGCCTGGGAATCTTGTCCGTCCCAGTAGCAATTTACCTGAAGAGAGTTCCGGGGTTCAACGTCCCCGCGACCCAGTCTGTGACCAGGCCTCATGGTGGATCAGGGCCTGATCAACCAGGCTGTTACTGCTATCCGCACGCAGTCCAACGTACGAACCACAGGCCGACAGTATCGACTCCGGCTGAATGCAATCTTTCCCTGTATATACCAGCTTGTTTCTGCGTGGTGCAAATATATATATATATATATATATATATATATATATATATATATATATATATATATATATATATATATATATATATATATATATATATTAGTATCAGTAACAACACTGCACTAGCCAAAGACTCGAACCCATGTTGCTTTGGCCTGCCTCATGGTGGACGAAAACACATGACGCCCTAATCCACTGGACCATACGATCCTTAAGAGTAGCGCATCCAGCGGAACTGGATGTTGTACTCGCTACCCAAGGACACACAATGGTGTGGATGACTCTGGGCTAATTTCATTCTAGTCCCTGTTTGGTGTACTAGTACAACGAGCAGTATTTTATATTATTGTGACCACGAACGAGTGGTATTGATCAGTGCAGAGTTGTCATTGATCAATACCACTCGTTCGTGGTCACAAGAATGTATATATATATATATATATATATATATATATTATATATATATATATATATATATATATATATATATATATAATATATCATATATATATATATATATATATATATATATATATATATATATATATATATATATATATATATATATATATATATATATATATATATATTTATATATATATATATATATATATATATATTATATATATATATATATATATAATATATATATATATATATTATATATATATATATATATATATATATAGGTAGAGGTATTAGAAGCAACAGTAGATGTATACGTCTGCAATGTGATTATAAACAAAGCTGTAATGTTTTACTATGATGTAGATTCATAGGTGTCTTTTTTCTGTCTATAAATATGCAAGATTTCAGGTATGTCTTAGTACTTCACTTACATACACTACACATAATGTATACCAAGCAAGTGATATAAAACAACCTTGGGTATTTGTATTTCTTTTAGTTGCTTGTTCTTTTTTTCTTCTATTCCATGGGAAGTTGGATCAGTATTCTTTCTACACTAAGCATGCTTGTGTACAGAGCTGATATAAAATCTGGTGGCAATGGGCTTAGTACCTTTCCTTGTATAATTTCTAACTCATAAAAGGAAACGTTTCATTTTACTCTTTTGGGCCACACATGCCTTGGTGGATACGGCTAGGTACCCTTGATTGTATAAATATAATATTAAATAAAGTAATAATATATATTTATTTTATATATCTTTATACGGTATAAATATATATATATATATATATATATATATATATATATATTATATATATATATATATATATATATATATATATATATATATATATATAATAATATATATATATATATATATATATATATATATATATATAATATATATATATATATATATATATATATATATATATATATATATATATATTATATATATATATATATATACATCGACCGTTTCCCACCAAGGTAGGGTGGGTCTTTTATTGTTGTTTGTAATAATATTTGTAATGCTAATACGTTTAGTATTTCCAAAATATTGTTGGCCTTAAAAGCTTAACCTAACCTCTAAGAAATATTAATTTAACTATTCTTACTCAAGTACAGCCAGAGCCAAATCTAGTGTCTACTGTTTATTATTTTATTATTTAAAAGAAAAACACATTTGGAACAAAAACAGTGTGTGTATTGAAGATACACAAGATGCACTGTACAAGTTTACTCATTACTTTCAGCATTTCTATCAGTTGTCGTGGTTTGATTTTATCCATCAGTGAAAAATGACGTGTCTTGTTTACCTCAGGGTTGAAGACGTCGGTTCTCCAGCACTGCTCCTCCAACCGTGTTCCTCCACCACCCAACACTAGGATTTCTGTCAGGTAATTAGGCAAAGATGTAGGAAATTACGCAAGAATGCGTGGTAGGAGAGAGAGAGAGAGAGAGAGAGAGAGAGAGAGAGAGAGAGAGAAAGAGAGAGAGAGAGAGAGAGAGAGAGAGAGAGAGAGAAAATGCTGTCAAAACTTAACAGGAATATTTAGTAGTAGTTCTGTTATGGTTTATTAATCTGGATGCCATGGGACTTGGCAGACAAGTCAATATGTTAAACAAACCGTTATTTCGCCCAAGAGAATTAGCTGGATATCGGGAGAATTTTTATGATTAATTTCAGAGTTTTGTGTGTGGCCCAGTGATTTTTCCCACAAGGGTCAACATATCCCTTCCCAGTTGCACTTAAGCGCTCCCACTGGAAAAAGAAGGGCTCCCACCAGGGTCAGTAGCAGTTCCAAAATGGAGGGAGGGACTCCCATTAAAGTCATAAAAACTCCCACCAGGGAAAAGAACACTCCCAGTCAGACAGAAGACCTCTCATCAAGATCGGAAGGACTCCCATCAGAAGTCTCCTTTCAGGGCCAGATAGTCTCCTACCGGAGGCTGAAGAGTTTTAATCCAGGATGTAAGGCAGGAGAAGCTGAAGGACTTAATCCTCTGCAAGCTTTTTAACTAACAAAACCTCACGGGAGTAAAAATATTTTGTAGATGAAGTTCCGTTTTCACTGAAGAAATTTCTGTTTTCTCAAAAGAAGCTTTTGTTAGCCCTTGTGGCTTAGCGCTTCTTTTTGATTATAATAATAATAATAATCAAAAGAAGTTTTAAGGCTGGTGAAGTGCTTCTGATCTAAGGAATTAGAGCTACCCCTTTTTTTGGATTAAATGTAATTCCTACTTATTTTTCAGATGCTGTATGACCCATGTTAGTTTTAACACTTCACCATGAATATAATAATACAAATAACACATATTAAACCATAACTACGTTATATATGAATAAAAATATATATATTCAAGATAATACCTTAATTAAATAGCTTGGTTATTGGTTTAGTCTTACACATATATTTCTTGCAAACCTGTAGAATTTTTCAAGTTCACTATTATGTAAATACTTGTTTCTCTTCCTCAGGTTCCGGAAATTCCGCCAGCTGCGCGGGATTACGAACGAGGGACGCACTTCTCTCCCGTAGGAGGAAAGGAACAAGTCTTTTCCCTCGTTCAAATTACCAGACAACGTCGGGAGGAGAAACCCAATGGAGACTCGACATCTACGACGCCGCCCGTCGACGTCGAAGGCTGTGAAGGAGAAAGCAGAGCTATTCTGTCCGGGAGACGTAAGACTTCGAGAAAGAGTCGATGGCGAAATGACGATGAAGTTCGAGATGAAAGTGCGTCGTGGCGTCCACTGAGGTCGTCGCACACAGAGAGGAGTTTGATAGCAAAACGACGTGTCGTGCGGATGCTGTTCGTGCTTGTAGCGGAGTTCTTCATATGCTGGTCTCCGCTGTTCATCGTCAACCTTCTGTCACTGTATATTCCCCGCCAAGTGTACTCTGCCCTGGGTAGCTTCGGGGTGTCGCTGGTGCAGTTGCTAGCGTACCTCTCCTCCTGTTGCAACCCCATCACCTACTGCTTCATGAACGCCAACTTCATTCAAGCTTCAAGCAGACATTTGGCTGCTCCCGCCGCAGGTCCCACAATTCCTTCCGCAGCGGAAACGGCAGCAGCTTCAGGAGCGTGGCGTTCACCCAGACGCCCATAAGAGTGACCGTAGACCAATCCATGACCCAGCTCCGTCAGAGCCGTCTCTCTCCCTCGCTGTGTCATAATCCACGGCCCGAAACCTTCCAGCAGCAGCAACAGGAGCAGCAGCAGCAGCAACACCTGTCGCTTAGCTGCATTCCGGGGTCTTGTGGACTCACCACAGCCCACGCCACGAAGCTACTGACTAACGTTGCGTCTACTGATCCTCAGATACACACCAGCTCCCTCTAGTAGCTAGAGACAACTGACAGACTTAAAGTGACAGTTTATGGTGAAAGACATTTTATATAAATTCGAACTGCAGTTGAAGAATTCATATTTTTGGCTACAAAGCTCCATAAACGTCTTCAACATTGTCGGTACTCATAGCAGTTTAATTCACTAAGTACAGGAAATATTGAAAAATGTTTTGACCTTAACAATAAGGCCTTGTTTCCCCTAAGATGACCTAGGAACTTTAATCCTCACTGTGTTTTTTTCTAACATAATTAATTCCACTTCATTGTCGTTTATCACCTGTGTACTTGCAATAAAATTTTGCCATTTAATCTACAAAATATTTATACTTGTAGATTAAAAAAAATATATAAAATAAATGCATTTTAACCTCCGCCTTCGGGAAAGCGATGGCAATTATTGTCTTTGTGTCTGTGTACAAAGTAAACGAAAATAAAAATAAAAAATATATATGGTTATTTTAATTAAATTTTACAGAAACTGGCAAATGCTGAGATAGCAACAGTTGACTTATTATTAAGCAAATTACATGAAAAAATACTTCAGGTGTAATACAAAAACATTAGTTCTTTGGTAAGTGCTGTAAAGACTCCCTACAGCTGCAGCAGCAGCAGCAGCTGGAGATATTGTAAAAGATTATAATTACTAGGGTGGATATACTCTAATTTTTATAATATTTCTATGTAGCCCACTTGATCGGTTGGTTACCTGGTTATGGGGGATGGTACGCCTCGTGACGGCCTCTCAAACCCCATGTACAACCCAATCTGACCAACTTTACAAGATGCTGCAGTGTACCCTCATAAATGAGACACTGGCTGGATGGATATGTCTGGGACAGGTCAGCAGCTTATTCAGCTACCATATCCATCTTCGCCCTCTCACCACATAAATAATGAAAGTTATGACTCGAGAAATGGTAATCCCACGAGTGTAAACAATATATTGAACAGACAGAACTGAAATCTGCGGCAATTCAGGCCTAAAATTAACAGATCAATGCTCTGAACATTACAATATGCCACCCTAATAATAAGAGTCTTCCAAGGTTACAGTATATATATTTCTATACTCTAGAAAAATTAACATAGTTCTCACTGAGACCACAACTGAGAATTCCTGTCAATTCCTCTGTAAAAACTTGGTAATGGCGAGTCTTCTGCTAACCTTCTAAATGTATAAAATGCATCCAGTTGGATGAATCTCAAATTGTCGGTATGTTTAGTGGTTAGAGAACTGACCTTAGAAAGACCAGTACTGAATGTAGATTTGAGGTCACTTCAATATGGAGAAAAACAGTTCTCTATATTAAAAAAATAGGACTTATTTTAATGACTTGATAATAGTTTAGGACGGAGTGAAATGTCATCTGTTTCCATATCTGACATGTGTTTAATTTGCAAATTCATGTAAAGTATATAACTCGAGGAGAGCAAGTGCAATAACCACATCCGTCCTGCCAGTTTCATTCTTTTACAACTTCATAATGAATATAATATAATCGAATAAAATGTGAACAGCTCGAGGGATTGCTAGTGCCTCAAAGAAATGGTATGTTAGTCCAGAGGGCATTAGTCCGTTTCTCTACTACTACACCAGAGTAGTGTCAGTGGAAGGAAAGGACTAGTAATCTCAGGACTACCAGATGGTCGATTCGAGATCCCGAACACTGCAATGAATTTATAATGTAAAATCGCCTCTGAAGACAGCACTCACCTCATACTCCCTGGCAGGCACTCAGCGTGCAGTCTCCTCTTAACTTAATATCCACAACCTCTCTCCTTGATCTTTGATGTTCGCTCTCTTTCAATTCCTTTCTGTTCTTCTCATACATTATCCAATCCCTCATGCTTTCTGATCACTGTCTCTTCCCCTTCTTTTCCCGATAAACCTTGTCCAAAATTCAACTTTTTCAAAAGTTTCATTATATGGACATTTACAGCATTCTTGGTAATATAAGAACAATAAATCTATGAGGAATGGTTTCGTGATATGTCTAACTTCATAAAAGTGATTGATTCGTCATTAAAGCGCATGTATATTAATCTTTTCAATGTAGTCAAATCACACACACACATATACACGCACACAAGTGGGTGAGTGGTACGAAAGAATAAAAGAGGCATCACCAAACATCATAGCTCTCACCGAAACCAAGCTCACAGGAATGATAACAGATGCCATATTTCCAACGGGATATCAAATCCTGAGGAAAGGCATAGGGACCAGAGGGAGTGGAGGAGTGGCACTGCTCATCAAAAACAATGGGATTTTGATGAGATGGAGAGAAGAGACAGAGGTGAAGCAAGAGACTACATAATAGGAACACTTTAGTCTGGAGGTCCCAAGATAGTAACTGCAGTGATGTATAACCCACCACAGAACAGCAGGAGGCCAAGGCAAGAGTATGATGAGAGTAACAGAGCGATGGTTGACACACTGGCTGAAGTGGCCAGAAAGGCTTTTGCGAGCAGGGCAAAGCTTCTTCATTCACGAAGAACATTAAAATGGTATAAAATACCGACAGGTTGTTAGGTAAGACACATATGCAACAGTTAGGTATCTTTATTTCGAAAAAAAGATACCTAACTGTTGCATATGTGTCTTACCTAACATTCACGAAGAAACTGACTGGGTGAACTTGGAACCACATGGGGGCCCAGACAAGTGGAGGGCTAAGATGATGGAGGTGGTACTGGAAAACCTTATGTACCAACACGTAAAGGACACTACCAGAGAGAGAGAGGAGGGGATGAACCAGGAAAACTAGGCCTGGTATTCACCTTGAGTAGTGCAGGCATTGAGGACATCACATATCAAAGACCTCTCGGGGCCAGTGACCACATAGTAGAGTTACAAGTGGAGAGGAAAAAAAAGAAGGGCGAGATGAAAGAAGCCAAACTGCAAGAGACGGGATTACAGAGGTATGAAAAATTTCCTGCACGAGGTTCATGAGGACAGAGCACTGGCAGGGAAGTCGTAAATGAGATGATGGAATATGTGACAACAATATGCAAGGAAGCTGAGGAAAGGTTTGTGCCCTAACTTTTTCCCTTTCCACTTGTAACTCCACTATGTGATCACTGGCCCCGAGGGGTCTTTCATACATGATGTCCTCAATGTCTGCACTACTCAAGGTGAATACTAGGCCTAGTTTTCTTGGTTCATCCTCTCCTCTCTTTCTGGTAATGTCCCTTACGTGTTGGTACATGAGGTTTTCCAGTACCACCTCCATCATTTTTTAACTGTAGTGTACGCACGCCACTGGCAAGAGAGTGATGGAGTGGATAATGATGAAAGTGTTTCTTCTTTTTCGGGTCACCTTGCCTTGGTGGGAAGCGGCCGATATGTTTATGTATATATATATATATATATATATATATATATATATATATATATATATATATATATATATATATATATATATATATACATATTATATATATATATATATATATATATATATATATATATACGTGTGTGTGTGTGTGTGTGTGTGTGTGTGTGTGTGTGTGTGTGTGTGTTGTGTGTGTGTGTGTGTGTGTGTGTGTGTGTGTGTGTGTGTGTGAGAGAGTGTGTGTGAGTGTGTGTGTCTAAAACTTCAAATTCAATAACCTGAACCTAGACAGAGGTGGAGCGGGGCTGCACCAGCTGGTTGAAGAAGCGACCTCCAGGGCACAAGAATAGGTCAACTGGTTCATTGACCTGACAGCAGCCGCCAGTTTGGAACATCCAACTGTCGACTCAAGTTAGGGGGATTGGTGACAGCCATTTTACCACATTTAATTCTGAATATTTATGTAAATAGTTTCAGGGAGTGTAGATATTTTTTAACTTATGGGACTTTGCATAATCATAAGTTTTCTACGTGCATTTATGTGTCGGTTATTCTGTATAAACAATGAATCACGTGGAAATAAACTTTAAATTTGAATACTGTGTCAACAGAAGGTTGTCTTCATTATAATGCAAGAAAATATTGCAATAAAGAAATGTTTTTCATTGTATTTGCTAATAATTTCAAAATTCATCCTCTTAAAACGTTACGATTGTATCTCATCACGTTACCATCATTCACCACCAGTGAGTAACATCCTTCCTTGGCCAGACCCGAGAATCTGTATTAAAGACTAGGTAAATACCACAGGGAATGCCAATAAAACACGGCATAGAAAGGCTTTGTATATTTCTATCAACGTCAGAGACCATTTAAACAAAAGTACACAGATAACTTCTGCTCCTTGTTTTATTGGTTTTACGTGTGGGATGCGTCTGTTAGTTGATCATTGTTTATGAAAAGTATATGTATTAACTAAATATAACATCTTAATCAAGTTGATAAATTCGCTTGTTAACAAATACGAGTGTGGGATTAGCCAGAATATCACGAGTTATTTGTAGTGATTTGTTCTTGTTTCGAGAATGCCCCGAGTCATGGCTGGATCATAGCATCAGTGACAATAATTCGTTATGTGCTGTTGTGTATACTCTCCTTACGCTCTATTATTATTATTATTATTATTATTATTATTATTATTATTATTATTATTATTATTATTATTATTACGCTCTATTATTATTCTTATTATTATTATTTCATAGAGAATACTATGCCCATAGTGGGTAATGCCTGGTAAATGAGAGGTAAACAGACCTGATCTGAAGTTGAGAGCAATGCGTATTACTTGAATCAAGAGCCTTTCACCGGCATCAAAGCTCCCTGTTTTGATGAGTCCACAATCGTAGATAACTGTGAGGATAAAGAATCTAAGGACGTCATTAGCTAACAAAATACAGAATTTAAGAATAAACGTAATTTAATCCTGTCCATTATATGGTCAGTCAAAATATAATTAGTGTAATTGCACATATACGAAATATTTTAATTTCGACTTGGGATGAATTTACACTCAATTTAATCGGACTAAATGAGCTTTGCTTAAGCTAACATCAAAAGTACTACCTAAAAAAAAAAAAAATATATAAAATAGTCTGCCTCTTAGCAAGTTATTCTTTTATTGTCAGTAATCAGTTTTACTGGAGTTCCTTGACACCTCAGTTATCTGCCAAAGAGACTGTAACAATTATTTTCATAGAGGAGCGATAAACCCACGAGAATCACGCAGCGCCAGAGAAATATAATGAAATCAGTTTTGACATGAGGAAAGGTAGAGTTGCTCTGATTCCCTGGACCAGAAAATCCTGGTACTGAATTACTGTTACAGCTCACCTGCCTGATTCCACATATGATCGTC